AAAAAATATATAATCATATCTGTTTTAAACTAATATATCAAATTTTAAAGTCTAAATATTCTTTGGACAGTTGTAGATACTGTAGATATTTGGACATGGACATAGGTGAAAAAAGTCTTGAACATAGTAGATATGACAACACTGCCGTAACTATCCAAGCCCTCTAATACTTCTTTATTATTTGGAGACAGAACTCACTGCCCAAAACAATTTGGAAATTTGTTTTTTCAATATCTTTCTGTAGAACTCTAATAATCCTAACGATACTAGTAATATCACTTCTCTAGTAAATACCGCAGTAGATACTTCAACTGACTCTACCAACATAGAAGTTTTCTTGAATAACATTTTAACTGAAGACCCAGAAATCAACCTAACCCCAAACAATTCTCTACCTAATACAAACCCAGAAGTAAACCTTCTTTTAAATGATTCTCCTCTCGAAATAGAATCAGAAACAGAAGTTTTTCAAAAAGTTCGAAACAAACTGATGCAACCTCTTATTCCTTTATCACATAACCATCCTAACCCTTTTATTGGTAGAACTTGGAAAGACCAATTGACCAAAATTCTTTGACAATTAGAAGATAAAGGCCGAACTTGACCCAAACAGATAAAGGTTCTTGATACTTATCTATACTTAAGAATTCTTATCCAGAAACTACCTGATAAATGACAACAAATTCGTAAACTTCTTCAAGCTTCTCAAGGTTCTTGAAAAATCTAAAATATTTGGAAAGAAGCTACTCAACTTCAACAAATCTTTAGCATTTGATCTAAAGAGTTATTGTATTAGATCTGATATTTTACTATAACCCATGTTGTCAAGTTTACTGATAAAGAATATCAGTCTTTAATTAAGAATTTGCAGAGCAAATTTTTATAAAGGGACAGAAATGCTATAGAACAGTTTATTATTTTATTAAGCTTATTATTTTGATATTATATTTTATTATTTATTATTTATTATTTTATTATCTTATTATTATTTAGTATTATTTAGTTATTATTATTAGAGTAGAATTTAACAAACATGTAGTATGCTTAACGCTTAATGATTAATGATTAGTGATTAGCGATTATGTTTAGCAATTAATGATTAGCAATTATGCTTAGTGATTAATGATTAGTAATTAGCGATTATACTTTATGCTTAGCACTAAGTAAACTACGCTTAGCTGCAATGATTAGCGATTAGCTCTAAAGATATAAAAAGGATATAAATTTCCCCAAGTTAATATTAGACCTGCACCACCCACCTCTTAGACCCAAACTCCCCTCTTCTCTAAGTTCTCTCTTGTAATATTATAGGATTCTTTAGAAATAAGAACTTAAAGATAGCCTATTTTATTCTCTCTAATAAAACATATATTTTATCTATAAACTATTGTCTGCCCGAACTACCACAGACAGAAGGGTATAGTTTCTAGTTGTAATAGAAATTATACTTACCTGTTGGACACTGCTATAAACCTGTGAAAAATCTCTGTAGCCATGTTATTGTTATAGTACTACTGTTAAGAAAACCACGATACTATAACAGTATGATTTAATTAGCTAGTAAACAATCTTCTAGCTAATTATATATTGTTTGTTTTTTATATATCAGCTATTAATTACTTTATTATATGAAAAAATTTTGATCTATAATATATATTATAACAATATCTTTTTATAAAAATAGAAAACTAAACTAATCATCAAAATATCAGCTTAAATTAAATTTAATAAAATAAATTTATATTAATATAATAATAATATAATATATTTAATAAAAATATTATACCGATTCTATATATCATTATATATTAGCCCATATTTTAGATTAGAAATAATAACTAATAAAATCATATAAATATCTTTAAAAAATATATAATATTATATATATATCAGTATAAATAAATAATATATCAGCTATAATTTGATTTATAAATAAAAATTAATTACTTGGTATATGATCTTCTAATAATATATATAATTATAAGCATATTGGTTTATATCATAATTATATATTTATTGATTATATTAAACTTTATTATATCAGCTTTATTTTTAGTTTATTTTTTAATATTTAATTTATTATCAAGCTATCTTTTTATGATATAAGGTTGATATTTGTATAATTTAATTAGCTTAGATGATTATATATTGTTTGTTTTTTTATATATTGGCTATTAATCACCTTATCATATTAAAAAAATTTGACTTGTGACAAATATTCATTTTAAGCAATTTTATTGGTTAAATAATTAATTTTATTAGTTAAAATTTTATTTGGTCTATAGTGATCTTGTGATCTTGTGATTGGATTTTGATGATTTTGGGCTTGTTAGAATCACCTCATTAAGGAGATTATTTTAGTAACAAAACTATTTAAAATAGACTAATAGATTAAAAGTTATTGCTAATTACAAAAATTAGTACATATGAATAGTATATGAAAGCTTAAAACTAGTAAAAAAATACTTCTTTGATCGTATAATATAAGGGTCAGTACTCAATTTTAGTCTCAAAGTATTATTTATTAGATAGTTATATTTGAGATATATGCTTTGATGTATTTGTTGTTCTGTTATATTAATTTAGGAAATAAACAATGCTGACCATTTTAATGCATGTGATATTGATCTTTTGAAGAGAGTAAATTGAAACATCTACTTTTTACAAAAATTTCTCAAAAAAAAATAGTAAGTCAACAAGAGTATATAAGGTTCTTCTTGTAAGAGTTACAGTTATATAGTCCAGTTTCTTAGTTTCTACTTAGTATTTCTATCCAGAGACCTATAATGATGGTTGCTCCCAAAATATCCTTTTGGTTTAGATGTCAAAAGTGTGAAGGAGTCTACTAAAAGCTTGACCCAAAAGTATAGCCCACTTGTTGTTATACACCCACTTCTCGGTATTTTATATATATAAAGTTTTGTTAACAGCTAGTATATTTGTATGGTACTAGAAATATTTAGATATCTACTTTGTTGCTTTTCTATATCATTTTTCTGTAGTTTAGTTTGTTTTGTTGTTGACCAAGAGATCATCAGAAAGAATTCTAAAAAAAAAATAATTATTAATAAAACAATTGTTTTTTTTAAAGTTTAAGATTTTAAATTAGATATTTAAAACAAAACAGGCTTGTTTGTATAAAAGATTTATATTTATATTTAAAATATTCTTAAGTTAACTTGGTTTGTTAAAATATATAAATTTATTAACAGATATCAATCTAGATTTATAAAATAGTAGAGTTAGTAATTTGAGTTTTGCTTTAGAAATAAGTACCACTTTTGCTCTACTTTATATATGTCTATCTATCTTTTATATATATATATTCCAATAAATTATGAAATAGATAAATTATGAAATAGTGTAACTATAACAAAATCGTGACTATATCAAGAGTGAATAGGCAAATTTTTCTTAAAAACAGTTTAAGAGATAACATTAAACATTATTTTGAAACAGCTTAATATAATTTTTAAATCCATATTTATATTTAATAGTGAACGCTAAAAATTTTTAATTGACAAAGTCACATTTACATTTAATTACTTTTATAGGAATAATAATGTTTAAAGCCAAGTATTGTATTATTGCTTCAATCCAAATCGATTACAGAGCGAATACTACAGAACGAATTAATGATGATAAACAAGTGTTCATAATAAAAAATAAATTCTATAAAAATAAAAATTTACCAATCTCCATCATGCATCAATTCAAAGGCCTTATTGATTTCTTCAAGTTTAAATTTATGAGTAATATACAAATCAACTTCTAATTTTTTATTTAAATAATCATCAACAATTCCAGGTAATTCGCTTCTTCCTTTAATACCGCCGAAAGCCGACCCTTTCCAAACGCGACCAGTTACAAGTTGAAGTGGTCGTGTAGATATTTCCTCTCCTGCACCAGCTACACCGATGATAATAGATTGACCCCATCCTTTATGACATGCCTAAAATAACAATGTCAATTATTAATTATTAGCTTATCTCAAAAGTATCATCTAGTGCGAAACCTTCCATCATATGGATTAAACAAGATTATTTACCTCTAATGCCGCACGCATAACACTTGTATTACCAGTACAATCGAAAGTATAATCAAGGCCTCCATCTGTCATTTCTATCAATACCTATTAATTTATAAAGAAATAATTATACATAACCAAATTTTCAAATAAATATGCAACTATCTTTACAAATGTACAAATAAAAGTAACATCAAATTATTTAACCTCTTGGATAGGTTTTTCAAAGTCTGCAGGATTGACAAAATCAGTGGCGCCCAATTTCTTGGCTAAACAGAAATGAACAAGTATATGAATGTATAAATTCTTTAAATATTATTCAAACTTCACGAAATAAAAATCTTACCGTATTCGAATTTCTTTGGGTTAAGATCAACGGCGATAATTTTGCTACAGAATTAAAAACATATATTGATTAAATTTTAAGAAATTAATAATACTGACTCAGTCATTACCTGGCATTACGTGCAACGGCTCCTTGAATTACTGATAATCCAACGCCACCACAACCAAATACCGCGACTGTGGAGTTGGGTTGAACATCTGCTGTCTTTATAGCGGCACCAAATCCTATATATTCATGAAATACCATTAAATACGTCACAATTGTCGATAATGATTAACAAATGTATTATATATGATTCTTCCAATAAAATCGATTAATCATAGCTGCAAGAGATCCAATAACAATAATAATAAATAAAATAAACTAATTAGTACCAGTTGTGATGCCGCAACCAAGTAAACAAGCTTTATCAAATGGTGCATGAGGATTGATCTTGGCAACGGATATTTCCAACAATACTAGGACACAAAATTGAATAAAAATGAATAAGTCGAAGCTTTTACATTAAAATTACGCAAAATAAATGTCGCGGTGAAGCTGGAAATTAAGGATCTCAATTGAAAATATAAACTCTACTAAAATCCGTTTATACTCTTTTATTAACTTCTAACCTAACTATTAAGAACCAACTAAAAAATGCACTCCTTTGAAATTTCATATTAAAAATATTCAAGGTTTCCAGTTTCAGCCACGACAATAAATGATCAACCACATTGACATCTTTTACCTGTGTATTGGCTGAAGGTAGAGCAGCCCATGTAATGATAGATACTTTCACCTTTGCATGTGAATCGCGTCGTTTCGTCCGGCAACAATCCACGCCCCTTAAAACATTTGTATCATATAATTATTAATATTTTTGATTGGTAAATTATTATAAGAACATAGGTACCTGGGTAGCTCTCACTATCGAACAAAGATTGGTTTTTCCACTTTTACAAAATTTACATGTACGGCATTCGGGAATATACAATGGTATCACGTGATCTCCTGGTTGAACCGTCGTAACTTCTTCTCCGATTGATTCAACGATGCCACCTCCTTCATGTCCTAAAATTATAGGAAATACTCCCTCAGGATCTTCATAAAATCAGAATGCTAATATGAGTCGCAGATAATAAGGTAGTGTTAGACAAATATGTATAACAAAGATAAATTCTCATTACCTTTGCCTGATAGCGTAAAGGCATCTGTGTGACAGCTAAGTAAACAATGCATGTATACTTAAATAAATTTAATTCATGGTGAATTAAATAAATTAATGGTTTGTTAAACTTACACTCCAGTTGCTAAAATCTTAATTCTAACTTCTCCCTTCTATATATACATACAATTTATGAAAATTTTAAACAAGAAAACGTGTCAGACATCATATTGCTAATAACACAGAAAATTTACCTTAGGAGGTGCTACTTCAATTTCTTCGATGCCTATAATAAATATTGATATTTAATTTAATATATAATCAATATAACAACTAAAAGAGTATTATGAAATACTTTCGTACTTAGAGGTTGAGCAGGTCCCCAAGCCACCGCTGCCTTACATCGGATTGTCTATCGTTTTGTTTATTTCATCAAATAAATAATTCCATTCATCTATTAATCAAAATTTTTATTATCCAAAAAAAGCATTCCCTACCTTTCCAACGGTCGACATTTTTGATACCGTAAAATCAGGAGTAAATCAAATACACTAGATTTTAAAGATTGATAGGTACTTTGATCTATCCAAATCAAGGATGATGATCTTATTACAGTATTAAATGCAGAAAACCATCAGAATTTTAGTGAATGGGGTGATTTTATATAAATGGGTCTTTAGCCTTGAAAATCAAATATGGGACATATGATTTACTATGTCCCATAACTTGATTTTCAAGGCAAAGACCCCAAATGATATATCGATATGGGATCTTTGCTAGGAAAATCACCCTCCGACATTTTCCGATCGGTCAATTCGGAACATTTTACATTTTTTGTCCTTATTGATTCAATAGCTTATCTAATGTTCGTTTGAATCAATAAAGACAACAATGATTTACACGCAAATAAGCACTGGTATATTGGTTTGAATTTGTCCGAATAAGTTCGATCGGAAAATGTCGAAGTATCCTTATATTAGCAGCAGTCAAATACAGGTTTGAAATAAAAATTTCCCAAGCACCGATATAAATAATATAGTCTTACACTGAAAGCTTGTAAAGAATTGTCGAACCAATATCTGTTTATGTTATATCCGTATTATTACAAAAATAACATTCAGATAATTACGTTTAGTTTTTAATTGGCGGATAACCAAATAAACCTTGCAGGTAATTGGATAACTCGGATAACCGGATAAACCGGATAACCCTTATAATATAGTGCCACAAAACCAGATAACAAAGCAACTTTAGAGATACTGTAGCAACTCAAATTTATTATCGTATGTGTATTATTAGTATATATACGATATATATACGTATAATTTTTATTTTTTAGTATAGGCTATACGTAGTATATTTTAATTGTACAGTATTAAATTTTTTAGATTCTAGCTTTTTAAGCTTTTTATCAGTTAAAGCGTGGGAGATTACGTAATAATCAACCAATCAAATCGTTAAATTTAATAAACCCGGATCAGCAAAACAAGCAAAAAAAAAAATAGTACGTAGTCCAAACCCACCTTGGTGACTTATCTAAATAATTCTAACCCCACCTAATCCTAATATTAATGAAAAAACGTCATGATACATAATCTGCCCGAGGTGAAAATCACGTGAATTGTAGATGTCCGGAGACTTCCCCTTTTAGACTTTAAAAAAACACGTAATTTAAAAAGAAAATTTTTTGTTGAAAAAGACTCTACACACACTTTCCTATCTTCAACTAAAATTTTCGTTTTTTTTTAATATAACTCGTTACCTATCTGCACACACTTTCCTAGCTCCAACTAAAATTTTCATTTTTGTTTTTCAACATGATTCCACTACCTACTGAATGCTTCTATATAATTTTTAAAAACTTCCAGTATAATTATAAAACTTACTTTTATGTGCACTGATCTTATGTTTATTGCATAAAATACTGATTCTCTTCGTGGTTCTGACGGTATGTCCCGTGCTTCTCGTCTTGCCCTCAACCAGACCTTGCCCGTGTCCGTAGACACATGTCTGGTAAGGGTAAGTATATTCATCCTATCTGCCGCACGGTTGCAGTTATTATTAAAAAGAAAAATAAATCTGGAAAAATTGAATCAAATATTGTATACCGTCGTGTTGAAGACATGACCCCTCACGTCTTATTAAATAATCAAAGAATTGATTTTTTAAATATGGGGATTGGTTGCCCAATTCTTCTAAACGAAAGCAGGAACAAGATAGTTTAAAGTTAGCTTGACTTGCAAAAAAATTGGCGAATTTTGCAAGATCCCATCTTAAGCAATTTATTAAGACGGGAACATTGAGTAATTTGTTATCAAGATTTTCTATCAATGTCCGCTGGTAAGTTGAAACAAAAAAAAAAAAAAAAACCGATTATCGGACAAATCTAACAAGTAAAATTTTTAAAAAGTGATTTAAGAATTTATAATATGTATGTAGAATGTGGGATTCTCAAAACTTGCTTACCAATCGAATGCTAAATTATTTAAAAATAAAATCACATTATTATTTTTTTTTACATAATAAACAGCGATTATATTTACGCTACAGAAGAGCTAAAACAACAATTAATCCCTCCAAAAGGCGCCAATTCAGCATAAACATTAATCCCTCCAAAAGGCGCCAATCCAACATGAACTTAAAATTATTAAAAAAAGCAAAAATTTTCAGAATACATCTTAATTTTTATTATCCTGTAACTTTACTTCCATATTACTAAAGCTGGCCCTGGTGGCTCGATTTCGTATACATAATCAGTTTACTTTTGTATGTATATTTTGGGATTTTATTTTAATGTATTGATATTGATATTATATATGATCGATTTTCTGGTAAAAGTGATAGGCGTGAAGAATTCTTCACACACACGTGACTTGTTTCCTCAGATGATTTTAGTATAAAACAAGGGCTTCACTACAAATGAGCCGGGAGTTTGTTAAATTAGGTTGGCTATATCAAGTGAAACAAAACAGTTTAGAAAATTTTAAAACTTCATTGCGTTGAATAATACATCGAATAGCGTTTTTCAACAGTGTTGGCATTTAGGTGAATTTGGACATATAAATTTATACGTATGTCCATATCGACATGTCAATGTCCAAATGAAATTTTTATTGAACACAGTCTGATTGAATTATAATTATTAACTTTTTTTCAATGCGGTTCAGAGCACAAAACTCTATCGAAATTTTGTTTAATTATAGCAAATTTAGGGGTTGACTTTCCATATTCGGAAATTTACACAAAAAGTAAAAATTTTGAGGTCAAAAAAAATCTATGGCTAGTGGAAATCTAAAGTCGTGCAATATCTTAGATTTGATTTGTTCATATAAGTATACAATTCACGGATAGATAGCTAGGGATAATGATTTTCAGCGGTGATAACCTGCTAATTCCATTTGTGATAAAGTATAGACTCTGCGATTTGGACAGAATTATATAGAGTTAGCTGGCATTACTAACCGAAAGTTCAGGCCAAAAAAGTAATGTCACTGATATTATGGTGGTTGCAGATCCTAAATTCAGGCCTTCTATGAATGCAGAAATCATTGTCTCTGTAGATAGCTATATTATCGACTCTATGGATAGCTATATAATTGTCTCTGTGGATAGCCACAAATAATGATTGCATGAATTTAATTTCTAATAAAATTATTTATTAATTAATCGATTCAGAATAGGTGTAACCCATACTGCAAGAGGTCCTACTGGTTTATTAGTTAAGTTTTGAGTGGTTTTTTGAGCAAAATTTATTATTTCCAACCCATTCAGATCCAGAATTTTGGTTGATCTGCTGAATTTGGATAATAGCTTATCTATTCACTTATCTATTCACCATATAAAGTGCGGTGATGAAATTTAGGGTTGTGTTACGTACAATGTAATTCCACTAAATTTAATTTGGATTTCATACACGTGATATATAGTACCAGCACTATGAAAACAAACAGGATTATACTCGGTGTTATAAATTCAAAAAATTTATACGCGCTTTATATATACGGAGAGCGCTGATATATGCGCAAATTTAAATTATGTACGCTGCGCCTACTGCGCGGATCCAGTTTATATCACTGATTATACTACAGCAAAATTATCATCTGGGCAGCTTTACTTAGCGTTAATACATGGACTACCATTTTATTAGTAAAATTTTGGGAGAAATTTATATCTGCTAAAAACTTAAAATATCTATCAATAGAAGTTGACCCAAAATTTTTCTCAAAAATATTTCAATAACCACTAGGCCAAATTCAATAAATTTTTTTTACTTGAATTTTACAGATTTGTAGTTATCTTTTTTAAAAAATTTTTAATTTTAAATTTAACAGCTTACAGCCGCTTGGCCAACAGGCTTATCAAAAAGATAAACTTCTGTAGATAATTTTTTGTTTCAAATCTTCCACACTATCAAATTCGAAATGTCTCATGATGTGAATAATCAGATAAATTTTTAGTATTCAACCTGAACAAGTTTAAAATCCATCAATATTTCTCAGAAATAGATAAATAAAAAGTGTACTATATATAAATTATGCGAAGTATTACAGATTCTAGTTTTTATTTATTTATTTAAAAGTATCTGAATAATAAAATGAATTTTTTTTTTTGTCCATCATGACCTTCACATCATTCGTTACTTTTTTCGACTATAAACCAAAAATTAACTTCAGAAAAATAAATAAGCTTAATTTAAAAGTCCACATCTTGTATGGACATAATTTCCACATCATCAAAATTAGCTTTGCTAAGATGAAAAAATATTCTTCTAAAGCCAAAATCAAAAAGTGCCAAACTGATTGTAATCCATCGTAATACCCATACAGGTAATTCTTGTAAAAATTCCTTATTAAGAATAAAATTTACAATCAATTTTTTTTTCGAATTAAAAACAAATGATAAAACAAAATTAAAATTATGAAATACCTGAGTAGTAGAAACTCTAAAGGCCGTCACGGTATAATGAAACCAAAATGTGATAACCATAAAACAAACACCGATTAACACAGCATGTCTAACCTCACGTCTATCTTCCGTGAACATATCGAACAGTTCATTAATAAGGGTGTAAGCTGTATAAATGTTACTAACACTACCAAGAAAAAATACACCGAGATGAAGGTGCTGTATTTCAGGCCGACAAAGAACACTAAACCAAAACTCAGTATCAAGTATTGTTGGAAATAGCTTGATTAACAATAACGGAACTGAAGTTAATACTATTTCATTATGAAGATTAATATCAGATGGTGTCAGATTAGCACAAAATGGAAGATTGAACGATGAAAACGTCCATATTGAGGAAGATGCTTTGGATATAGTGTCTGAGATCATCTCGGGCGTTACAATTTCATCATCCGAGTACATTGCTGATGTAAGCATTATGATGAACTTCATCATATAACCACTAGGAATAAGTAGCAAAATAACTATCCCACATGTTATTGTAATTCTTACATCTATACAGTTATAAATAATAGCTTGTTAACTAATTAATAATAATATATTAATGTATATTAATATTAATTAACTTTAAATTTAGCACACCTCCACGGTTCAAAATATTTCTGACAGTTTTCTTTTTCCTTACTATATATTCAAATTTACATGAAGTACATCGATCAAAATTTTTACTTGTACGGATTTTCAGAAGTCGATTTCTCCATTGAGTCAAACAACTTGAGTGCACATATTTGACACTTCCTATAAAATCAAATTCACGCAATGTAACTAGTAAATTGTTATTAACGATAAACTCCAATAATTTTTGAAGAATGAAGAATCTTACCCTTGCATTTACAAGGCGCTATTAGAGATTTTGGATCGTCTTTACTAAGACAGA